CACCTCCGGGGCAGGCGGGAATCGAACTCATGCGGAAGCGGCTTTAGATTCTCAGTGCTGTGCTTTAACCCGCTGCGCCACCAGGGAGGGCCAAATTGTTTTTTTTTTTGAGAACTGTTTCAGCTATACTCAGAAAAATATATCCTGTCATCCTCTTTGTCAAGATCAGTATATCTAATTCTGTCTAATCTGCTCAAGCTAATAGCACTGCTCAAAATTGTATGGTTTGTTTTGTGATTTTTTTTTTTTTAAAGATTTATTTATCCATACAAGAACTGGTGCATGGGCTAGAGGTGCAGGGCGTGAGAGGACTCACAAGAGACAGTGGGTTGCAGAGCAGGCTGATCTACTGAAATACATTGCTGAGGGGAGCAGCTGGCGGCTCAGGAGAGGTCTGCTGCACCACATGGGGATTGAACTTGTGCTGCAGTGGCTGCTGATAGCTTCATAGTGCTGTGCTTTAGCCCCTTGCACCACCAGGGAGGCCCCTTTTCTATATATTTTATTGTTGCAGATCTTATATCTAAATCTTTAATCTGGAGTTTGTTTTAGTGTATGGTGTAATATAAGTTCGTTCTTTTATGAGGTTTATCCTAGCACCGGTTGTTGTTTTTTTTTTTTTTTTTAAGATTTATTTTTATTTATTTATGCTTACAAGAACTGGGATGCAGGCCAGAGGTACAGGGGGTGAGAGGATTCACCAGAGACACAGTGGGGAGCAGAACAGGTAGATCACTGCTGAGGGGAGCAGCTGGCGAGACAAGAGAGATCTGCTGCACCATGTGGACTAGCTCCCTGGCTGGGGATCAGACTCATGCTCTAATGATGGTGGTTGGTGATCACTTGATAGTACTGAGACTTTAAATCCCCCTGCACCACCAGGGAGGCCCCCCAGCACCATTTATTGAAGAGACTCTTCCCCCAGTTTATGGTCTCGGATGATTTGTGATAGATTAGGTGCTGGTATGTATGTAGATTTGCTTGGCTTTTAATTCTTTTGCATTGGTCAATGTATTTTTGTGCCAGTACCATCTTGGTTTTTAATACTCCTGCTTTATAGTAAAGTTTGAACTCAGGTAAAGTAATATACTCCATTTCTCTTCTTTTTTCTTAGGGTTGCTTCATGTCTTGTAGTTCTTATTGTATAGTTACTTCACCTCCCTTGTGAGGTAGATCCCAAAGTATTTAACTGAAGCGTTACAAATTAGTTATTTTCTTAATTTCTTATTATTTTTTTAAAGATTTATTTATTCATACAGAACTGGGGTACAGGCCAGAGATGCGGAGGGTGAGAGGATTCACCAGGGACAGAGTGTGGAGCAGAACAGGCAGATCGACGAAGTACACTGCTGAGGGGAGCAGCAGGCGTGCCAGGAGAGGTCTGCCAGGCCATGTGGTCACCTCCGGGACAGGCAGGGATTGAACTCATGCAGAAGTGGCTTAAGCTTCTTAGTGCAGTGCTTTAACCCGCTGTGCCACCAGGGAGGGCCCTGTTTTCTTAATTTCTTTTGCTTCTTGTTTGTTCTTTCATTTTTCTATGTTGGTTTTGTAACTGACTTTGCTGTATACATTTATTGATCCTAATAACTTATTGATGGAGTTTTTAGGGTCTTCTGCACTTAATACTACATTGTTTGCAAATAGTGATTGTTTTACTTCTTTTCCTGTGGGTTGTTTTTCAATAAAATTAACAATTCATGAATTAAAACATTTGATATTTTAAATATTGCAATTTTTATGCTTTTTAATGCTCAATAATCCCTTTTTTATTGTATACCTTCCTATTATTTCATTGCAGGAATGAGTGCAGATTTGGTTGTTTACATGTTTTGGCTATTATGACTAAAACTTTATAAGCATTTTAGTTGTTTATGCATTCAAGAAACTGGGGTGTAAGCCACAGGTGCAGGAGTTATAGACAGAGTGGGGAGCAGAACAGGGGGATCTACTGAGATATACTGCTGAGGTGAGGTCTGCTGTACCATGTGGGTATCAAACTCACAGGTGGCTGGCAATAGTTTGATAGCACTGAAACTTTAATCCCTGTGCCACCAGGGAGGCACTTTAATTTCTTGTGGATAAATAACTAGCATGGGCTTTGTTGGTCCTCTGGGCACATGTTTAGCAGACACCATCACACGCTTTCCCAAAGGGGTTATATTCAGAACCGTGTGTGAGTTTCATTTCTCCACATTCTTTGGTGTTGCATATAATTCCAATTGTTCTGATAAGTGTATGCTATCTTGTGGTTTTGGTTTGCATTTGTTCATATTCATGTTTCTTGGTGCTAGATTTTCCTCTCTTGCAAGTTGGGGTTTGGGGTTTTTTGGCCTATTTTTCTGTCATAGAGTTTCTTATTTGTGTACTTTACATAATAAATCTTTTATAAGGTGTCTTTTCCCTCTCTGGCTTGCTTTTGTCTTAATATTGTTCTTTAGATAAACAGAATTTCTTCGTTTTCAATTATATAGTAATTTATCAATATTTTATGTTGAGGGTTTTTTTTGTGTGTGTGTACTGCTGAAGAAATCTTTAATTTCTATTACCAGGTCTTTCAACTGGCCCATAGACATCTGATAGCTTCCTTGCTACTATGAGAGAGAGAGTTCCAGATCCAATGTTGAAACAAACATCAATACTGTAGCCTCCATGAACTATTCCAAGTAAATGATTTTTAAAATCCGGTTCAAAACTTTGTCCTCATTCTCCCAACTTTAATTTGTTACAGGATCTACATCAATCTTTATCCCTGGCATCTTCCCCAAAAGGGACCATTGAGAACATTTTGGATAATGACCCAAGGGATCTTATAGGAGACTTCTCTAAGGTAATTGAAAGCAAGTAGAGCTGCTCTGACTCTGTAATGTGGGGTTGGGATAGACAGAGTCACCTGGAATTCCCCTCAACCTTTCTAAGGTAGCTCTCTAGGGTGCCCCCATGAGCACTTGCACAGTTGGAAACTTTTAAAGATAAAGAAATGATCTTGTGGTTTTCTCATAAGCGGTTGTATCTTGGTCTCAGTGGGACTATAGACTTTATGGTTTCTGATCAGAGATTTCAAGAAGCTATCCACCTTGACTACAGCAAAGAGTAGGCTCTCTGGAAACTTTCTGATTGTAAAATAGTAGTGCAGTTTCAGTTGTATCTCAATTTAAATATATATACATATATATACACACACAGCCTTACAAGTTCTGGATTTCACTTTTTTTTTTTTTTAAAGGTTAAAGTCTTTATAGGATCATTTGGTTCATTTTTTTTTTTTAAATTTTATTTAATTTTTCATAGAAGAGCTGGATGTAGGCCACAAGTGTAGGTTTGAGAGAGGATGAGGGAGCAGAGTGTGAGAGGATTTACTAGATAGAGAGATAGAGAGGATACAGACTGTTGAGCAGAACAACAGCAATTCTACTGAAATACACTGCAGACTATTGAGCAGAACAACAGCAATTCTACTGAAATACACTGCTACGGGGAGCAGCATGTGAGACAGAAGTCTGCTGTGCCATATGTAAGTCAGCTTCCTGGTCAGGGGTTGAATGAACTCAGGCTGTTTTGGTGGACTGTAGGGGTGATAGCACTGAGACTTAGGCCACCAGGGAGGCTCCCCAAAGTCTTTATTTCAAAAAGCTTTCTTGAAGGTTCCCAGTTGAGGGCCTTTCCAGTGGCCTAGGGGTTAAGTCTCAGCACTATTACACCAGCACCAGTGCAGCCTGAGTGCGATCCCCAGCCAGGGATCCACATGTGGCATGGCAGGCCTCTCCTGCCTTGCCTGCTACTCCCCACTCTGTCTCTGGTGAATCCCCACTCCCCGCACCTTTGTCCTACACCCCAGTTGTTCTTGTATGTAAAAATTTGCAATTAAAATGTTGAAATGAGGATTACTGACCAAAGCAGGAGAAAAAGGAAATTTCTGTTTTGTTTTGTTTTATTTGAAATCTGGCTTTCCTACCTGATTAACCTTAAATAATGTGCTCAGCTTTAGCATCTCAAAATGAGGGTCATCTACCTGTAGGATTGTGTGAAAATTGAATGTCAAGATGTTAGTAAAATGGCTAGATAATTAACTAGCATATATTATACTGAATTAATAATTGTATTTTTTCTTAAGCTGCTTCCTAATATGCAGGCAGTCTAAGCAGACTTTGTATTATAGGCTTTCAGGTTTGCTAAATACTTTTTTTTTTTTTTTTTTTAAGGGTTATCTCTTTCATACAGTTGCTGGGAAGCACCAGGATTTAAAATACATTTCTCCAGAAATTGTAAGTCATCCTTTTGGAGCATCCCATTTGTGGCTATTTGAATCTAGTTGTTCCTGCAACCGAAGGTGATTCTCCTTGGCTTTCTTTCCACAGATGGCATCTGTTTTGAATGGCAAGTTTGCCAACCTCATTAAAGAGTTTGTTATCATTGACTGCCGCTACCCATATGAATACGAGGGGGGACACATCAAGGTATGAATTTTTGAGGTTTTTTGGCAAGTCCACTATCAGAGGCATAGAAAGAGCCCTAGACAGCCTCTGACTTTTAAAGGGGTGGGGTTGGTCACAAACGACTGCTTCTTAGCACACATAGTAGTTTTGAAAACATTTTAAGGAGACAGTGAGTATAAAAGTCCTTTCACTCCTGGTGCATTGAAAGCATGTTCATCTGTACTATACTGTTTGCCATATTGCTTTGTTCCTTATACACATCACAAATCAAGTGCATTTCTAGGCGATACCGATTGATTTCTAGGCCATGTCTGAATACCCCAGGCTCTAATTAGGAAAAGCCATTTCTGGCAGCATGTTCCAGTCTGTGCCAGGCTTAGTGGTGCTTCTGAAGTTTGTAGTTCAGTTAAGCTGTCTGGTGGAGCTGAATGTTGGTACATATTTTCTGAGGTAGGAAATAACTGGTTGTGCCATTTTAATCTTTTAATCAGTAAAATAGTGTTGAAATATTTTAATGCATGTTAGTGCTTGCCACTATCTTATAACTTTATAAAATTCCAAATTCACAAATGTCACTCAAAGTATACCAGAGTCATAAGATAACTTGGGGAACCTACTTAAAGGTCAATCTTACAGAATCATTAATAGCAGATGTGAGACACACAGGTACCAAGATTCTCTGCACTTTCACAGGGTGCAGTAAACTTGCACATGGAAGAGGAGGTTGAAGATTTCTTACTCAAGAAGCCCATCGTACCTACTGATGGCAAGCGTGTCATCGTTGTGTTCCACTGCGAGTTTTCTTCTGAGCGAGGCCCTCGTATGTGAGTGTTGCATAGAACTTGGCTTTGGGGCTCATACATGGAGCTTACTTTAACACATTGAGCGTCTTTTTCCATCACAAGTTCTGGTTTTAGCTTATACACATAATACAAATTCACGTGTAGTATGTTTTCAAATTCTTCGTTTGTTGGTAACTGATTTTATGAAGCTTCGTTAAAGCTTCCAAGGATTGGGTAGTAAGAAACCACCAGCCAGGTGAGGATATGAAAGAGTATTCATTCCAGGCTTAAGTTGCAATGAGGTGCCCTGAGGGAGGAACAAACTAAGCTTTTGTAAAAGCCACAGGGAAAAAGAAGCCCATTTATCTAGAAGTAAGTAAGAGAGAGACACTGACTGGGGGAGAAGCTGGGGAATGTGGCAGGTATGAAGAAAGTAGTAGGTCGCTAGCTCATAGGCTAACCTCAGGTTAGATGCAAGTGATGGCAGGGAGAATGCTTGTTTCACTGGGAGAAAGGAAAGTTGGGAGGAAATTGTCTTATCTGGTGGTGGTATTGTCTGAATTCTATTCCTAAAGATCACACTTGGCCAGGAACTCAACACTGATTATTTCCAAGAATGAATATGAAGTTGGGGAAATGTGCGTAAGAAGTAACTACACTACTGTCTACACTGTGTTTTCCTTTTCATGTGCCCTTGTATTGAAAGAGTTAACTTTGCTTTGGCTGTTACTCTTTTTAGGTGCCGGTATGTGAGAGAGAGAGATCGACTTGGTAATGAGTACCCCAAACTCCACTACCCTGAGCTGTATGTGCTGAAGGGCGGATACAAGGAATTCTTCCTGAAATGCCAGGTAAGATGTGAGTGGGGAATATGGTCCACTTGCCCAAATTGGATATTGGGCCTGTCTGGTTTTGGCTGTTTCTTGTTACTGGCAACTGGGTTTAGCTCTGCATAAGGGCCCTGGGAATCAGTCCAGACAAGCATTGCAGCCCAGACAGGGAGGGAGCTAGATTGTAATATGAGACAGCTGGATTCTAACCTTATCCTCACTTATCCCCAGTCTCACTGTGAGCCCCCCAGCTACCGGCCCATGCACCATGAAGACTTTAAAGAAGATTTGAAGAAGTTCCGTACCAAGAGCCGGACCTGGGCAGGGGAAAAGAGCAAAAGGGAGATGTACAGTCGTCTGAAGAAGCTCTGAGAGCTGCGGTGCTAGGCAGCAGCAGCCAAGCCTACCTTCCTTCCTCCTTTTCACCTTCTTTGCTGCAAAGAAACTTGAGCAAAGAGGCCAGCTGACATTTGGAGAGAGGGCCTGGGGCGTCCATGCTTTAAACTTACTTCCCACACTCCCAAGGTTGGAGCCCAGAGCATCTTGCTTGCTCTGCCACTTCTGTCCCCTATAAGACATCCTCCTGCATCAGGACTGCTCTGCCACAGCACAGTTCCAAGCACCATGTCCAGATGTTCAAACTCTTCATTCCCTGCAGCTGGATGAGCCACCTGGGACCTTACTGGGCACTGGCCTTCATCCCTGAGGGAAGGGGAGGGGAGGAGAAAGAAGGAGAAGGGAGTGGAAGTGGAGAGAAGTTAGAAAAACAGAAATGCTGCTGGCCAAATACCAAAGACAGCCTGGGAAGGAAAGGTCTTTTTGGGATAACCCATATCTTTAATTTATTCAACATCATCAATCACTTTATTATTATTATTTTTTTAATTCCTGGAGACTTATTTAACTACTTTAGGTCAAAATACTGCCATTCTAGGTAGGGTTTTAGCATCCCAGGGGCTACCTCTGCTTTTAATTAAAAAAAAAAAAAGAAAAGAAAGGAAGGGGGAGGAAGAGGCAAACTCGTGAGTTGTGGGACAGAGACCTAGGAGCTCTGTCACCCCCAGGAGGCACTGCGGTACTGGGGCTGCTGCTATTTAAAGCCAAGAACTGAGATACTAGTGGGAGCAGGCACTGGACTCAGGCTTGGCTATAGGACATAAGCTAAAAAACTTCCCAGACCTACCTCGAAGGCCATGAGATCTTTCCTGTGAGAGGTCACCCTGCCCTTCCTCTCCCCAGTTCCCTGTGATGTTGGCTGGTGTAGGAGTCAGTCAGGAAAGCACTTCAGGCAGCTTCCATTTGGCCTTCCCAGGTCAGTGTTGGAACAAAGTAGTGTAGGTACCCCAGAGAGGGGGACAGGGATGGGTGGGCTCTGTGGGATAGGGGAGGGGAGTATACACTGAGTGTCTTCCTTCTATTAATCTGATACTCTTTGGTAGCTTTTATTTTAATTTAAAAAAAATAGTCATTTATGAGTCAAAGAGTATCAAATCAGTGTAGACTGGGCCACCCAAGTGTGGAGAGAAGGGCTGGTAACCCTGGTCATGACAAGGGTGTGGGTGCTGGCAAAGAGATGACTGTGTAGAATGTGTTTCTCAGGAGGCAGTGTGGTGGATTTTGAAGGTGAAACTTTCTGAGTTTATCATGTTTTAATTTGAGGGACAGGAAGTGATGGATCATCACCCCTGGTCCCCTCATCTAACCCTTTGGAAGTGGGGGTCTCAAAGGAACACCTCCCATCCAAGGAGCTGGGGCTGATTTGATTGAGTCTAGACAGGCCTGTTTGGTCCCTGCTCATCCCCACTCTTAGTTACCAGCCTCCTCACCATCTTTGCTCCATTGGGGTATAGCCAACTTTGTCTTATACACAAGAGTCAATCTCCCCTCTTGCCTCTGTTTTCTGTTTGGTGGTAGGGAGGGAATCAGTGATATTGGAGATGACTAGTTGCTGTGTTATGGGTTTGAGTTGCATTTGGCTATAAAACAATCTTGTTAGAAAAGATTATGGGGAGGAGAGGAACAAAAAGGGAGAGGGAAATGACCTACCCCCCCCCACACACACACACATTGAGAGACATCTCAGTTGGTCTCTAATTTGTAGGGATTCTGTTGGTTGAATACTCGAGAGGTGGGATGGCCTTCAGATTGTACCAACTTAGCTAGCATTGCAAACCAGCTGTTGTAGTCTCTGAAAATAAAAACCTTGAACCCATGTTCTCTGCTTGGTTCCTAAGAATTTAAGTAGTTTGTGTTGCCCTGTAAGGTTTTAAGATCAGAGTGCCTGGGGCAGCCACATTTCTTCAAGAGGCCACGGTTTGCTCATGTGGCCTGGTTTCAGAGATGGCTGTAATGACCACCGATTATTACTCTGACTCCAAAATATTGTGACTTAGATTGACTTGCAAGATGAAACAGGTAATCTTAAGTTTTGACTGAACCACTGACATTTCTGTATAAGATCTGTTAATTCATATGGATTCAGCAGTAGGCGAAGGAGAGACCCTGGAGGAGTTTTAGTTGTGTTATAAAGGAGAGTAGATTAAAGAATGAAAAATCCAATGTTTGCATGTCATGTCACATACAACCATAGAAACTTAAAAATATGATGCTGGGCTAGTGAACAAAGTGAGTTAACAACTGGGACAAAGGGTAGGGTTTTTACAAAATAGGGTGACCCTGGGAATAGACGGTAACTTAGGTTTGTGTGTGTGTCAAAGCAGTAGTGTGACTTAAAATATTTAACAAATAATAAGATCTAAACTATTTCACCCATGATTCCACCTCGTTAAAACTTCATTTAGATAATGTATTCCTTTCTGATTTGTATTTGTAATAGAGATAATAGCTTTTACAGAAAACTTCTAAGACAACATATGAAGAAAGTGTAGCACTATGCAGTAAGTATTACGGTGTGTTTACATGTTGTCAAAACTTGGAGAATGTTCCATGTAGTGCCCAAAAGGCTCAAGTTGAACACTACCCTCCCTTGTCTTAACACTCCATTTCCTCCATATTTATGGTTGTTTTTTTTTTAACTTCCAAAGAGACTATTCAGCTATCACCCACATTCAACAATTTTTGTATTTTTTTAAAGACTACATCCAGAATATCAAACGATAATTGCATATGAGATTATATGGTTATGCTAATGTATCCCATATGCCCCCAAAATAGGACTTTGAGAAGGTTCAGAGATTAAATTAGACCACTTAAACTTTAGAATTTTTGGTGAAAAATAGCATAGTACCTACTTAAAATCAACATCTGCACATTTAAAGCTCATAGAAAATAATTCAGATAATGCTTTTCCCTAACTTTTAGAACAGTTATTTTATCAAAACATCAATTTCTAAATCATGTGCTAGTTTCCTTGACCTCTTATCCAAGTTATTTAAGATGACAGCACCTTCCAGTTCATTGTGAACTAGCACAGGGTCTCCCTGGTGGCTCAGGGGTCAAAGTCTCCGCATTATCAAGCTATGGCCAGGGAGCTGACCCACATGGCCCAGCAGACCTCTCCTGTCTCACCGGCTACCCCCCTCAGCAATGTACTTTGTTGATCTGCCTGTTCTGCTCCCCACTGTCTCTGGTGAATCTCTTACCACTCGCACCTCAGGTCTGCACTCCAGTTCTTGTATGCATAGATAAATCTTTTTTTTTTTTTTTTAAACCTGAACATTAGCCCAAGTGCTAAGATAAAACCCCAGTCTTATCCTATGTTCATTTTTTGAGGGGTTTGGTGTAGAACTGGGATGTAGGTCAGAGATGCAGGGAGTGAGAGAATTCACCAGAGACAACAGGAAACAGATGGTCTACTGAAATACAATGCAAAAGGGGAGCAGTGGGCGAAGACAGGAGAATTCTGCCATGCCATATGTGGGTTAGCTCCTTTGATAGGGATCGAACTCAGACCATAATGGTGATAGAATTGGACTTAATCTCTAGGTCACAAGGGAGGGCGCCTATGTTCATTCTTATGTTCAATAATGGCAGGATTCTGTTTCTAGGAGGTATCCTGCCTATGGAAACTCGCTTGTTACAATGGGAAGCCTGCCTGCAGAAAAATCTGCAATTATTATAGAGAAACATGGCACCCACAATGAGAACTACAGCATAACTCAAGCCCCCTACCCTAATTTGTTTACAGCTCTCCAGTCTCCTTATTTCCCACCCTAAAATAACATCCTTCACAGGCATTATTTCCTAAACAAGAAGATACAAAGTAGTTTTTCATATTTTAAACTTTTACATGCACATACACAAAAAGGAAAGATTTATCTACAACTGATTTTTATTCTCACTGAACCAGGAAGGGCAGGTATTTCATTCTATATGGGTTAAGGCATGGACGGAGTGACTGATTGGCCATGTCTTTCCAGCAGAGGAACTGCCTTAAGGAAACTTCCTCTGGGAATTTGCCTCATGGGTAGCAATGGGCATTTGAAGTAGTTAGTCGCCTTTGACCATCCCTCTCCTAACAACCTATGACTAACATTTGGATCCCCACTTAAGAGCAACTTGGAAGAAAAACTTCCATGGAAGGAAGTCTGTTTTGCTTGCTCATTTAACAAACACTTGAATTACAGGTGCACCAGATGTAGTTTTTCTTGAGCTCATCAACTAGTAGAAAATCAAGGTAAGTAACACTTGGTTATAACAAGGTCAGATTAGAGACAAATACAGACGAAAGAATGGTTGGAAGCATAGCACAGAGGTTATGTTTAAATCTAGTGTCGAGGGGCCGCCCTGGTGGCACAAGGGGTTAAGTCTCAGCACTATGAAGCTAACTGCAGCCACTGCAGCATGAGTTTGATCCCCGGCCAGGGAGGTGACCCACATGGTGCACCAGAGCTCTTCTGTATTGCCATCCCGCTGCTCCCCTCTGCAGTGTATTTCAGTAGATCCACCCATTCTGCTCCCCACTTAGCCTCTAGTGAATCCTCACCTGTCCCTCCTGTACCTCTGGCCTACACCCCAGCTTTTATATCAATAAATAAAATAAACCTAATGAGGCAGGGCATTCCAAGAAGAAACTAAGATGCAAAGGTGAAATCATGCTCATGAATGGAGGTGAGAAGCAGGAAGCAGGTGGGGGAGGGAGCATTCTTAAAAACCTGAATGTGGAACTAAGGAATCAGCTTTTTTTCTTTTAAAGATTATTTATGCATGCAGAACTGGTGTACAGGCCAGAAGTGCGGGGGCAGTGAGAGGATCACCAGAAATGGAGTGGGGAGCAGAGCAGGCAGTACACTGCTGAGGGGGGCAGCCTGCGTGTCAGCAGAGGTCTCCCGTGCCATGTGGGTCACCTCCAGTCGGGATGGAACTCAGCTGAAGTGGCTTTCGCTTCCTAGTGCTGTGCTTTAACCAGCTGTACCACCAGGGAGGGCCTGGAATCTAAACTTTAGTAATCTTAGAGCAGAGCTCAAGTTTAACAGACCAGCAGCACTTAGGGAACTTGCTGATATGCAGATTCTGATTCCATAGATCTGGGGTGGGACTTGATTTCTTATTAACATCTTCTTGATTCTGCAGGTTCTGTGTGAAGTAGTATGGTTGCTGAGGGCAGTTGGAGGATGGCTGACTGAGGAGAGGATGAGAGCACAGCCACAGAAGTGGGCATAGGGGGCAGGACATTGAGCGCAAGACCTGGAGAGGGACAGGTAGGAGTGAGGGAGAGGGAGGGATCCAGGATGATGTCCTGACTCTTAACTTGAACTGGGTACACCATTGTCACTTAGGGCAAGGAGCAGGAAGAAAGAATATTAAAATCTGAGTTGAGGAACTTATAAAAGTCATGTTCTGTATTCACAAGTCAAAGTCATACATGACAAAGATGCTAAGAAACTGTTCCAGAGACTTGACAACTAAATTAAATAAAGGATCCTTGGTGGACTCCTGAACCATACAAAGTGCTATAAAGAATACATTTGGGACAATTGAGAAAATCGAAATATAGACTATCAATAAGGGCAAACTATTGTCTCCATTTTCCTAGAGTTTGTTAATTATATAAAGGTAATATAACAGTACTTTTAGTTTCAGCAAATAACACATTAAGGATAAGGACTATTCTGTGAGCTATTTCCAAATGGCTTAATTAAAAAGTGTGTGTGTGAGGAAAAAGAATAAAAGAAAGCAAGTAGGGGAAGTTAAAAATTAATGACTATGTAGAGGATTTAAAGGAATTTTTTGCACTATTTTGAACTTTTCTGTATGAAATTACTTCAACAGAAAAACTGTGAAAGGCAGAGTCTGTGATGCTGGGCTCCTTTGAGCTCTGAGGGAGGGTTGAGCAGTGGACTCTCAGGTGCCTGGGTGGTCAGGCCAGCAGATTGCTCCAGAGAAATATCCAGGCTGATAACAGCAACTTTTTCCAAGCATCCAAATGGCAGTCCAAGGGACACGTAAAAGAGGTCTTCTGTTGGGGAGGAGCCCAGAGGGAAGCAGAATGGGCTGGGGGTGGGGCCTGGGAGGCGCTAGGGCAGAATGTCAGGACTCCCTGCAGCAAGAAGGAGTAGGCGGAGGCAAAGGGAGAATGAGTGATAGTAAAGCTTTTCTGCGGGTGGCTAGAATGTTACTGACCTTGACTTGAACAAAAGCTGCCCGCCAGAGAGGAGTGGAGTTGACAAGGGGAGAGGAAGAAACTGGTGTTAAGGAGCTGGGGGGCTTTCCATGATGGCGACCACACTGCATGGCAGGGAGTCGGAATTATCTTGAAGATTCCACAATCTTGATCTCAAATCTTGACCTTTCTGTTTTCCATGTGTTGACGCTTGGAAGTCGTTTAAAGCAAAGCCCAGTCTAGGTCTCCCTGCTCTCACACTCCCATGAGCCACGCCTGCAGAGAGCTAGTCCCCCCCTCCCTCCGCCCCCGCCCAAAAGAGCTGAGACTGCTCTTTTCCAGGCAAAGTCCTATCTCCTCCACCCACAGGCCTCCTTTGTTCTTACCCTGCTGGGCTTCCTTGACACAGCTGCTGCTATAGCCAGGGCTTGCCACCAGATGGCGATGGTACCCTAGGTCAGACTCCCCAGACATCTGTCTGCCAGCTTTTCTTCCCTGCCCATTCCCACGCCCACTTTCCAAAAAAGCAAAAAAAGCGATGGGGGTGGAACCAAGGACCCTGCAGGAATTCCCTCACCCCACTCTGGTTCCCACCTTCTAAGGGCACCCTCCCTGCCCTGAGTGCCAGCAAAGCTGTGGCTGTT